TAACAGAAATGTGAGATCAATGTATTAAATGATAGTATTTAATGGCTAAAATTTTTTTTTGTTAAATTGTAGTCAAACTTTGCATGTCAAGTAAGGAAACAATACGGATGCTCATTTGGGATTTTTTTTTCTGGCGTTGTTGATTGATAAAGTGACTGGCGTTGTTGATTGTTAAAACTGAAAACAATGTAAATCATAAAATAGAACAAAGATATAGATTTTAGGCGTGAAAATTCATGAAATGCTCGAACAGTAACAAAAACCCTGCTTAATTCTCACAATAAGTGCAACCTTGTATGCAACCGTTTGCATCTCATCCCTGCATATTTGCACACTGATCTCTTCTAAAGAAAACTTTCTCTCCGATAGTTATCTATAGAAAATTGTAACCAAAGTTTTGACACTCAAGTAATACATATGAGATTTTTATTCTATTTTATGTACATTATTTCCAGTAGAATTCAGTGACTTCAATTTGTCCGTCAACTCTAGCCTTGGAGTGGCGTTGAGTATCATCTATCACATAAAAGTCGATAAAGTGTTTAATGTCATTTTATTCGTTTTGTCTATAATTTAAAAGGGTTTACACCTCTATTCCTGGTTTCTCTCTGTACATAGATGTCGTGTTTGTGACCTCCATAGTATTGGAACTCCGAGCAACAAAGACGCAACGAGTTCATTGACCGATAAAACAATGTCATGACTAACTTTAGTGTGTCTTTTCTCGTATTTTTGGCGCCTATACACGAGCTGCGGGGCGCATGTAGAATTAAGGTAAGCATGAATATTTTTATGATGATGTTGAGCTACGTTCCAAATATTTACAGTTGATTTTAGGTCATATTTTGCAATATTTTCTCCCCGCTGTTACAGGTACCTGCCATGCAAGGAGAAAATGCATTGCATGAGGAGGCCTCATGACCTCGATTGCAAGGCTGTCCGTAGTGAAAAACTCATAATGCTCTGTAAGGAACAGACGTCGTTATCGGCATTTGTTGTGCGATGTGTAACTATGAAATCGTTCGTTACACTAAATAATGAGTGGAGGGTGAGTGTGAAGGATTTTTTTTGGAGAGGGAGGGGTGTTAGCGTCCAAATATTGATTAGCAGAAGGCCTACCGTGCAACTCTGATGAGCTTTGCCGATTCCAGCATCATTAGTGCCGTTGATGCTATGGCATCAACACAACACAGGTTCAAGTCTTGTATGTATCTATACCGTAGTAATTGGGATTTATTAGTGAAAGGTTGCATGCTAAAAGTATAATATTTAATGTTTCATTTAAAACAATGCACTCGTATAATTTATGTTGGATAGTAATCATAAAATGAAAGTAGTATTATCCTAGTCTACCTAATTAGATAATTAATAGGTGTCATCAATTAATATTAATCTTATTTGCTTTTAGAATTTAGATAAGCTGTTATACAATTCTACTTTCTAGTATTCTGTATTAGTGTATAATAAATAGCTACATTCATCTTGTTCATCTGGTTAACATAAATCCTTCAAAAGTTTTTAAAATGCAAATCTTGAGACTTGATCCATTGCAACATATTTTACAAATTTTTAGTAGGAATTGATGCATTAATTCTCTTCACTAAGAAATATTTGTTCTTCTTGAAAATATATAATTTTTTGTTGAATTATTATTGCTTAAATAAATTTCTTTACAAATTTTATTGATATAAATTCAATTTTTTTATACAAATACAGTATGAATTATATGTTCTAATTTTTAATTTCTTTCAACTAGTAATAAAGTATTCCATCTAAAAAAATAATGTAGATATACTACAACTACAGTAATGTCAAAGTGGTGAAAATGTGAATGTCATAAAATTTCTTATTTTGAATTACCCACGATGTCGGAATATACCGCGTTTACCCTACAAACTAAGCAAACACATTTTTGTTCCATTCCTCAGTGACTTCAACCCAATTTTTCAGTTTGTTTAAAGACAAGTAACTCCAAAAATGAGAACAAACTCCAAACTTCTGGTCAACAAATTGAATATTTCAGTAACAGATTAAACAATTTTGATCAGTAAACATGTATGTATGCATTTTGCTTGCTATTATACAAACTTTTTGAAGCAGCATTTAAGTGAAAGGTATCTACAATTTTGTCAATGCCTTTTCTACAATCAAAATAATATGGTTATCAAACAAGAAATATAAAATTTTTCATGTACAAAAAATGTTTTGAATGAAAAAATTTAATTAAAGAAAGCATTCATTATACAACTTCTTTCTTCACTCATTTTGTATAACACTCACAGCTGCTCCAATAAACAAGAAAAGCTTCCTAATAAACAAGCTGGCATTGGTATACAAGTTTCCCTTGTTCATTTCCCAGCCTGAGATGCCTGAATTAAGCAGTCAGTTAAGCAGGGAAATAAGCAAAATTGTTGTTAAGGAATTTGTTGTTGTCTACACATGATTGTAGCACAGAGGTACTAGTGAAAGCGTACAATTAATGACACATAAGTGGAAATTCTGCCTTTCTACCCACCATGTAATTCAAAAGATGCGATACTAGACGAAAATACATAATTTTTGTCTAAGCAATCTATATGTAAGATGTATCTATCATTTGAAATTAAGAGGTTTGTGTCACATACTATGGTATCTAATGCATCAGTGAACTCTTATAAGTAAATTATGACATTCTAAGATTTTAGCGTCTATGTGGAATTGGTAAATTGAAGATACAGAGTAGAATGGATGAGGAGTAACAAATGAGCAGGAGCTGTACTCCTGTTTGTTTAGAGCAGGGGTCTCCAAACTATGGCCCTTGGGCACATCCGGCCTGCCACACAATTTCATCTGGCCTGCGGCCTGCCGGATGAAATCGTGAAATGAATAAATAATTATTGTACAAATGGCATCGCAAAATTATTCAAAGCTGCGGGCCTGCTGACTAGTGGCGCTCAGCCTGAGTCAGTTTTCCTCTCTCTCAATAGTGTGATGTACAGATACTAGTGCTGGTAGGAATGTGATATGCATTACAACCAATCAGTTGTGTATAACTGTATATTTGTGGGGATGGAGACCGAGTGGGGCTTTGCTGCTTCTGTTTCAGGGAGCACAGCTCTTTCGTAATCCATTTGACTGCAATGCTGAAAATCTTCCAACTCAATTTCAAATGAAAATTATTGACCTCCGGGCAGATGACGGACTGAAGGATAAGTGCAGAGAGGAAAATCTGATTCAGTTTTATAAATGCCTGCAGCCAGATCAGTTTCCAAATTTGATAAAGTTTGCTTGTAGTTTTGTGTCAATTTTTGGTTCAACATACTTGTGTGAACAAACATTTTCCAAAATGAAGTATGTGAAATCTAATTATCAAGCAAATTTGTCTGATGATCACTTGAAATCAAATCTTACACAATTGGCTCATCTAATCTGAAACCGGATTTTAATGAAATTTTGAAGTCAAAACGACAGCATCATTCGTCACTCTAATTTGGTTAAATAAAACTAAAGACAGGCATCTATTTACTTTACCCTGATTTTTTACAAAAATATATGTTTCAAATTTTCCATGGTTATACCTTAATATTTAGGTAAATAAAATTACTGGCACTGACTTTTTTATTCATTTGGCCCGCATAAATATTGGAAATATATAATGTGGCCCGCACTGTGAAAAATTTGGAGACTCCTGGTTTAGAGTCATGAGTGATTGAGTTCACACCTTTGTCAGCTAATAACTGATGGTTTTTAAGCTAAACCCACCAATCACAGATAAGAAATGGGCTTCTAAATGTACTTCGTCTGCTACATGCATATAGCTAGGCTTCTACATTTACATAGGTTGCTGTGTGCACTTAGGCCACTACATGTACTTAGGTATTCAGGCTACCAAGTGTACTTAGGCTACTATGTGTACTTAGGCTGCTATGTGTACTTTGGCTGCTATGTGTACTTAGGCTGCTATGTGTACTTGGTCTGCTATGTGTACTTGGCTGCTATGTGTACTTAGGCTGCTATGTGTACTTAGGCTGCTATGTGTACTTAGGCCGCTATGTGGACTTCGGCTGCTATGTGTACTTAGGCTGCTATGTGTACTTAGGCCGCTATGTGGACTTAGGCCGCTACGTGTACTTAGGCCGCTATGTGGACTTAGGCCGCTATGTGGACTTCGGCTGCTATGTGTACTTAGGCCGCTACGTGTACTTAGGTCGCTACGTGTACTTAGGCCGCTATGTGGACTTCGGCTGCTATGTGTACTATGACCGCTATGTGTACGGCGTCAGAAATATAGTTATTATCATGAATAAGCTTGTGAACGCTGAACGTGGTTCAGTATTTCAGTTAATTAATCTCATGTCATACCAGAAGCCACGCCTGGCGTAGCCGCCTCAGTAACATTGATGTCGGACCTCAACTTCAGTGGCGACTGAGAGTCAGTTAGTCAGTTTATCAGCTACTCAGTTAGTCAGATAGTCAGTTAGTCAGCTAGTCAGTTAGTCAGCTAGTCAGTTGTGCCAGCTCTACAGTGAGGTTCTTACCTAAACTTGGTCCGCTCTATCAACTCTCAGCAGTTCTTTGCCCCTAACGCTGGGGTTGCCGTGAAAGATTTATTTTATTTATTAAACTGTTCCTCGACCATGAACTTGATATCACTCCAGTTTGAAATTTTAAACGTGCTTCTTTTAAACTGTTCCTTCCCGAAATGAAATTACGTTCTGTCCGTGTTAACCAAAGTTTTAATTGATGATATTCCAGTGCAATGAAGTGTAATTGAATTTTCATCAAAATCAGCATATTTTTACAAGATAGCTGGCGGCGTTTGGCCATGGATAAGATTGAATAAGATCTTATTTTAATAACATTGAAGGAAGCAGAGAACGTTGGGTGATAAGATTATAGCCATTATGGTAAACTGGCTTGCAAATGTTATGCATTACGATGTTAATGATTATCATTACCTGTACATACACTTTTATATAATATTATTGTATATTATCATATTAACATTATTGATGCCACAGGTGTGGTGCGAGGGTTCTTGCGCCCCGAGACGGCCCAGGGAATCTTTGTGAACTTCAAGCGCCTGCTGGAGTACAACAACGGTCGCCTGCCCTTTGCTGCTGCCCAGGTACAGTCGCCTGCTGGAGTACAACAACGGTCGCCTGCCCTTTGCTGCTGCCCAGGTACAGTCGCCTGCTGGAGTACAACAACGGTCGCCTGCCCTGTTTCTTCAAGCCTCAGGAACCTCAATGTATTTCTCGGTGTCGCTGGTAGACTCAGAAGGTGGTGCATCAGCATGGTCGTGGGCAGCGCACAAAACGAACTAACCAGGGGATGTTGAAGTCATGAGTTTATATTTGTGAAGGTTATTCAACTATTTTACTTTCATTTAACAATTTTACCTTCATAAGCGTTGATATCAACTCTTAAGCGCCCAGCTGTACATATATTTCGCTTTTCAAAATACCGTAGCGTATTTTGTTTATGTATGAACCTCATATATCCAATTGGACAAATACATTGTCTTTAATTTCAGACTGTGATATGGACGTATATGTTGCATGTCATAGTTTTTTCCATTAATAAATTTATCTGTGTGCTATGGGTGCAATATATTTTGTATTATACTGATAGAAAAATGTATTGCATATATAAATATCAGGTAGGTGATCGGCTGTAAAGACACCCAGCTTTATATTTATATCAATAATAAAAACTTATAATATTGGTAGTAACATTATTTACATACAAAATATATTTCAAGTGGATTCCTTCCCCATAACACTCCCCCGTGCCCCGCAGGTGGGGAACGCCTACCGTAACGAGATCTCCCCGCGGTCGGGGCTCCTGCGGGTGCGGGAGTTCACCATGGCTGAGATCGAACACTTCTGCTTCCCCGACGATAAATCCCACCCCAAGTTCCCCCAGGTAAATCTCACCCCAAGTTCTAGAGGGACACATCACACTCAAAGTCGAAGATCGTTCAGCGTTACTTGAAATCTACAGACGATGTTGCCATTCCATTCAGATGAAAACTGTGTCTAAATCAGAACTGTGTCGGACGGCTCCGTGGCCCACGCCGAGTGCTGCGCGGCGTGATTTCAATGACTGTGATTTACGTGAACGCGTGCGTGAAGAAAATATAAATAACTATTTACACGCGGGAAATTTCCCCGTTTATATACATCTTCCTGAGTGTGGGTTTAACCCTTTCACGGGCAAGCTACGGGCCTACGGCTACCGCATATTGCCATTTCAAATCACCTTACAAAGAAAGAATAATGATGGATTAATTATAGGTAAAAGATTAGCAAATGATAATTATAAATGATAAACAATGATAATAATAAATAATAATAAATAATGCTGATAATAAATAATAAGAAATAATTTTGCTTGTACTAGAAGTACCACATCAGTGTGGCATCACTGAAAGCAGGATTGGAATTTTCATACTTGTTTCTGAAATGTTGTGGCTCCATGTGGCAAATTTTTAATACATTTGGAATCTCGCGCCCTGCCCTGATGATGCACTTTTGTCAACAATTAGATAGGTAATTCATCTGGCAGAAATCTCATGGTTCCAGAAATTACATGAAGCTCTAGTCATGGCCCCAATGATAGAAGAGAAGTTTTCCATGCTTGACTGAAAGCCACTGTGGCTGCCATTCACTTGGGCAATGGACTAATTTTTTTGTAACTTTCACCACCATTGTGCAACTATTGGCAGAGATCTGAAATTTAGAATGCATGTTTTAATAACTGTTAGCACTTAGCTTGATTTCCCAATTCCCACTATCTTTTATTAATGGCCAAGTTCTATACCAAAGGTTATTTCTAGCCAAAACTAGGAGCAGCCTATATCTTTGGCTGACTGGCACTTAATGAGTTTCACTAGTAAGTAGACCAGGAGGTAGGTGCAGATAAACAATTTTGTGTAAAAATGTCTTCATAAGAGTAAATTGTCCTGGTCAGTTAATTATATGCAATAAACTGAACTTTGAAATATGAACCAAAACAGGCACTCTCACATCAATGAATCACTACCAGTACTGCATGACAGTGATCTATTGTAGGTACTGCCATTGCGACTCCATCATCTTTTACCATCACTGTGTGCCTAGTTGCAGAGCTCTGAAATTTAGAGAACATGCTCTAAGAACCATTAGCTTGATTTCCTATTAGCTTTCATTATTGGCACAGTACAATATAATAGTTTATTTTTAGCTCAAAGTGGCACCCTTTGCAAATCCCAGCCAAGCAAGTAGACGACAGAAATTTCTCATAAAACAAGTTAGTGTCATCATAATTCAAGTTTTTTCTCATGTTTCCAAACACCAGCCAGTCAAATTAAGCTGCCAGTTGGGCAACACTTTTTAAACTAAATATTGGTATCAGTTGTTTTCGGATCACCAAATTCTTCCACAGATTTTCCTTCAGATTTGCATTTGGCCAGTGGCGTTTTACACAACGTCAGCAAGTTTTGGGTATGATTTCAATTCTTCACACCTAAATTTTGCAGCCAATATTTAATCAATACAAACAGATTGCCTCAAACACCTGAGTGCCTTGTGTGCTCTGAGGTGGGGGGCATATAGTCTTCATAGCTCCCTCTACTTGTATGAAGCTCCTTGATGGAATACAGAACAGCACACTGCGCTTAATCTTCAGTACCTGTCACACTTCTCCAATTTTGTCACTGGAGACAGAATGTTTTCTACCCCCCTCCCCTTATCTTCTCTCTTGCTTTTTGTTTATGAAAAGGACCTTACAACATTTTTACTTGCCTACACAAGGCTCATGGGCTTGTCTGCTGGTCTCTTTCTTGGGTTGGTGCTCTTATCAGTGAACAGCAATTTGCAACACAGGCACAAATTTTGTTTCATGCTCAGCTCCATAAAAAGTAGGCAATTTTGCCTTCTCTCTCATCCCTCCGGATGTCTCTCTGTGTGAAAACATCCATCTTGACACAGGAGCGGGGCTCTCCATGTCCATATACTTGCTATGGTTGGAATGTTGACTTTATGGTTTAGTAAATAGATTTACAACTCAAAACATGAACTCAAGGCTCTAAATTCCATTAACTCATGGCTCCAGAAATAGAGTTGCAGTTTGGGGAGTAGACCTTTTTTCCACACTAGGCTGTGTGGCCACCAAGCTTTGCGTTCAAGATATCCATCATTGTATATTAGTATCGAATTGCCTTGTAGTTACTCACTGTGTGCCATTGATGGCAATATCAACAAATTTGAGGTTCTAGTAATTCTGGCAATAGGTGAAATTTTACTAGTCTTGCTTGAAGAATGCATAAATCTATGCTTAATGTTCTAACTCAGCATGAAAGTTATAAGGAATGGCCTAAATTAACTAAATTCACTGCTATCTCATGAGCTTATGTTTGCAGTTCCTCCAGTATAATAAGAAATTGAAAGGGAATAAAAGATTCCATTGATTACATTCACTGCAACATGGATCCTGAAATTGAAGCCAAGCTTGCCCCTCTGCGGGCCCGTGTTAAGGAGCAGGTAAGAATCATATGGATATTCCTGTAAAAATGGGAAATTGAAACGGCCAAATGTATGAACTTTTAGGACGCATTTCTATATTAATAAATTAGTGACCAATTTATATTCCTTTTGGCCATGTTCATTTTTAGCTATTGTAATAATGAAGTCAGCAGGAACAGACATTGTGCTAAAAATTAAATATACGGTGTATAAATTTTAACTTGATGTGGCTTATGGCCAGTGTCAATCTGGCATCTCATTATATTCATTATAATTATATTATTAGATATGATCATATGTAAGCTAGACATGATATATACTTGACGTGATAAAGCTGCAGTGAAAAATATCAAGTTATATTTCAACAAAACCATCTATTTAAAGTGACTATGTTTTGTTACTTATATTTTTATTTACAGGGGGACAAAGTCCGGAACATGAAGGAGGCCGGGGCCGCTGATATTGACATCAAGCGGGAAGTGTTGGAATTGAAGGCGCGTCGCAAGGTGCGTCCCAGAACTCTGTGACTTATTTCACCTTGAGTGTACATTTATTTGTTTTGTAATATGTGAAGCCAAAATCCTTGGTTAAAAATTTCATTTTTGCTTTGTGTAAATAGTTATTGTTGGTGTGTACAGTTGCCTGCAGAATGTGATTCAGGAG